TTTCTAGTTTCTGTGTCCTCAGATTTGGAGATTCCTAAAGTCATGGCTCTGCATGAACCTTATATGTTATGTTCGAGAGAAGACCCACGTTGGTGCAATCTGGGGCTAACCCACTGAGCGCTTCTGAAAGGACTTAGAGCAGTTAAGTCACTTATACTGAAAACATTATGTATAATAACAAGACATTATTATTATAAAAGAGAGGGGTCCCATACATGCCACGCCATGCTTGTGGGATAAGAGACAACTTTTTGGAGTCAATTCTCTTCTTCCACTTTGGGATCTAGGGACTGAATTCAGGTCCATTGGGTTGACAGCAGGTTTCCCACTGACCCGACTTGCCTGCCCGAAGTCACTTGTTTTTAAAAAGCAACTGATGAAATATCTGAGTACAAACCCTCATTTATAAACTATCCACAAGTGAATATAGTACGTTGTATCTTATACTCTATAATCTCAGTATATAATCATGTAAAAACAAGCGTACGTGCACATACCCACTCATACTGTGCTCCCCTGGCACACATACACGAGTGAAATACCCTATTTATAAAACTCTGGTTTAGATAGCTATGTGAGGTGTGTGACTTTGATGTGAGGTCGGCAGACAAAACTCTGTGCAAGTAAGATCTGATTTTCAAACACCAAGCTTATCTCCGGAGCCTAACATGTAACCTAGGTACTTGAGAGATGGTCCATGAGTGTGTACGGAATAAATGAAGATGAAGTAGTTCATAGGATGCTTCATAATGCCACTGTCCTAACTCAAGCACATCTTCTCCCATTGTGAACATATATCGTTGGATTTATGGATCACTCACGAGGAATAGTTACAAGGGCACACTGTGATGTCTGCGGCAGGAGGCTTGGATCTAGGATTAGGATGTTCAGTTCTACTGGAAGGCTGGCCTCCACAGAATGCTTCTACCTATTTAGAATACTGTGAGGTCCAACATGGAAAACTCAGGCACAAGGATCAACCAGAGATGTTTAGAAGAGCAAGTGGGGCCCTGGCACCAGGGGTGCCTAGCTCCAGGGGTGCCAGACAATACAGGAGGGGGTGTTTAAAGAGAAACAAGTCAGCCCTGTGGTATGATTCTGCACCTAAACTTGGGCAGCCTTGTAGCTGCCCAGGGAGTAAAGTACCAGCAGAGCGCTGGTACTCCAGGTGAACCCCCAGCAGCCCGCTGCACAGTTCTCACTGGATGCCTTGTAGGTCTTAAGTTACTTATGTGACTGAATAAGCCTGCTTCTCCGCACGGCTTCATCTCTGGAGGTGCGGAGTTGCTCATCGCTCTCTTAGACTCAGAAACCTTTGGTTCCTCTTGTCTTTATCTTTACCTCTGATTTTTGGGTTCCATTCTTGCCACTTGTATTATTTCTGATCTCCTAATTGAGCATCCAAAGTGCTCCCAAACTGTTTTATGCAACACCCCAGGGTGGATTTTCAAACAATGCAGGGCTAGGGAGATGGCTCAGAAACTAAAAGGTCTTGACACCTGAATTTTTTTCCATAGCCACTCATGCTGGGAGGAGGTCCTCTGACCTCCACTCTGCTTTTCTGTCATGTGAACACATACCACCTACACCCCCAAACATACAAATGTAATAAAATCATAATTTCCATAGGTCTGAATGCTTGTGTTATTCCCAGTGGTTTTCATTTTATTATTTTTTTTTTCCTGAGTGCTAATCAAGGCATTAGAAAAGGGACAGGGTGGCTTGAGGAGATGATTAGGTATTGCCATGACAAATCAAGCTGTAGAGTCTTTTTATAAGGGCACTGATGTCATGACCTAATTACTTCTGCTAATACTCTCGTACTGGGAATCAGGATTGCAACACATGAATTGTAAGGGAAACATAAACACCCCATGACACAGAATGAAATGCAGGCACTGGGTGGCTCACCACGAGCCAAGCTCAGTAGCCACAATAAGCCATGGCAGCAAGAATTGAGGAGAGGGAAACTTAGGGAAGTCTCAGGAACACACATCTAACTCCTAGCATATCTGACACTGGGTTGACGGTGTGAGACCTAGGGAGAGAAGACCGGAGTTTACAAAGCTGGACTGGAACCTCAGCAAAGCCAGGGTAAGAATTCCTCGATATACTTTGTGGAAGGTACGTAGCGTAGTTGCTTTACGTTTGGATGTATATGGAAAACAGAGCAGAGAGGCTCCATCCATTCCCTGCTCCCTCTAACCCTGATTTTGAGGCAGGGTTTCTCAGTGAGCAGATCCCCTGTAATTAGGCAGTGCCATCTGGCCAGTAAGCAGCAAGGATCTGCCTCCGCAGTACTGGGATTGCAGGTGCTTGTCCCCAACCCTGTCTTTGCAGTCACCTACTGTGCCACTGCCTCAGCCCATCACCCACTAGTTTGATGCGGACCTCGCCATAGTCAATTTCTCATGATCGGTTTTACCAGGAAAATGCTTCCGCTCCACCAGAGATGTGCATTAATATTGAAACTGTTTATTTTCACTTAGTGCCCAGTAGCTGTTCATTTATCATTTCTTTACCTTGGAAAGGCCTCTGTCCCTGCTCTTTTAAACATATAAGCAACTCTTATCAACCATATTTGCCTTAGTGTGACACACAGCTCTTAAAGTCATTACCCCTGTCTCTCTATGTACCCCTATAGCCTTAGTTACCCTTACTTTATTCTCTCCCACACTTCACTGTCTGCTACTCATTCTATTCTCTTCTACGAGAGCAATAGTTAATGAGTTTGGGCTTTCCCACACACACCTAGCATTTCTCTACTGCCATAGGGATATAACCTTACAGAGTCCTTGTGGAGAAACTTATTCTCCCTTTCTAAGGCAACCAGAGCATGGCGTGCTTGACTGACATACTCAGGGTCATGCAAGAGCAAGATGCAGCTTTTGACCAATCTGGTGACTGTACAGCACAGTCTTTTGTTTGCTCCCAGCATTTTTTATTTGTGTTTTATTTTTTCCCCCCACTAGAGGAAAATGCTTCTATTTAATTCAAGGACTGGTGAAAGAGGATCCCGATTTCAAATGCTCATCTCATCAGGGAAGTTAGTCATTGTATGCCATATGTAAAGATGAAATACGGCGTGCAATTCAATGAACAGATATTTATCGGGGGCCATGGTTCTGTGGGAGCAAGTACGTGTGCCATGGTGCAAGCGTGAAGGCCTGTGTTTGCAGAGCCAGAAGTATCTCCTGTAATTCTAGAGCCCCTGCAGGAAGATGGGTGTTAGAGACATGTAAATAGCTGGAGTTCAAGAGTCAGCTAGCCTGGTATATACAACTAGGAACAATAAGAGACCCTTTTTCAAACATGCTGAAAGTAAGGACTGGCACCAGAGGCCTTCACACAGGCACCATGGCACACGTACTTGCTCAACCAAAGACTGAAAAGAAAAATCACCGCTTTGTTGAAGCAAGCTGACACTTCTCCATGGCCGCTTATCCCAGATCTTTACACTCTGGTGACAGAATGAGCAACCCTGAAGGAGGAGATAAACAGTGGGGGATAGAGCAGAACGTTCCAGAACTTTCTCACTAACTCTTGCAAGTAAAAAGGCTGCACTGTCTGGAGCTCAAGCTCCCTGGGTCTTCCCTAATGCTGCTGCTGTCTTCCTCAGAATCCTGCTGTCCTGGTCCCAAGTAGGCGCCACAGAGTGTAGACTCTTGACACGCTCTCAAGAGAGTGAAGGCACCTTTTACAACGCCATCTAAAAAATCTCCAAGTTTAACTTAAAAGGAGGAGGCATGTCTATTAGCTACAGTCATCAGACAAAATGTCATCTATCTTTCAGGGAGCATGATCCAAATATCTGTCTTCAGGGCCTTTGAAGGCTGCTTTCTCAGGACAGGTGAAATCCAGTGCAAACACACTCGTTTTTTAGAGGTAAGAAACGGACGGATCTTTTCAGTTCATGAAAAGAGCTCTGGTCACTTTTCGAAGACATAACATTCCTGATGTATTAGTAAAGGCGGGGCTAGAGAGATGCTGAGTGTCTCAGTTTTGCTGACTCTGAGTCCTAGGCCTTCCATCCGAAGAGGTGCTCCTTTCAGAGCACCTCTGAATTCACCTCAAGTGAATTCTGCATTTCCCTCAGTGAAAGAGCAGACATTAGCCAGATCTATTAAAGCGCTTCACGCCCAATTACCCTTGTTCTGGGTCCTTTAGGGCCTGCTACAAACAGAACATTTCCTGTATAAACCCACAGCTGATGAGCTTTTTACTTCTGACCACAGTTCAACTCTTCACCAGTGCCACAGGGCCAGGGAGGCATTCAGCCTGGTCTAGGACAGAGGTCCTCCAGTATGTTAATCTTGCACATCCAGCTGGTTCCAGTGGCTGCCTTTACGTGCAACTGGTTTGACCAGATCAGGAATCCTGTTTGCAGGAAGTGAAGAAGATGAAGAGATAAAGGAGGTTCCCGGGACTTGGGAACAAGGCTTTAAATGTTTTTGTCTTACTGGGAAAGTCACAGTGTGTGTGTGTGTGTGTGTGTGCGTGTGTGTGTGTGTGTGTGTGTGTGTGTGTGTGTGTGTGTGCGCGCGCGCGCGCGCGTGTGTCACACACACACACAAGCGCTTCCCCGTTTTCAAAGGTTGTTTCCCTGGGGCATTCCTTGGGATGTAATGGAGGGCAGGATGGAAAGTGGTGTTGGGAGAACTTTCCCAGAAGAGCTGGGGACTTTTGAAGTGCCAAGGCCAGCTCCCTTCCCAAACCTTGGTGGCTAGGCCTGGGGAAGGGAGCCTGCACCAGGCCTGTCCACTCTGACCTCCTGACCCAGACAGCTCTCTCCAGAAGGGAGTGCAGGGCCAAACCCTAGGTCGGGCCGCCCCCCAGCCGCGGGGCTGCCTGCCAAGAGTTCGAGGCCACCCCAATCCGGATATGATGAAAGGGAGCCACAGAGAGAGAAGTGTTTGAAGAGCGTAGGAGTGGCGGCCCCGGGGTGAAAGAGAGGCACAAGTGGATCCCAAAGTCCTCCCCGGTGCGGGGCCGGCTTGGAGGGAGGGGGCGGAGCCGGCGCTGGCGGCTGACACCGTCGTTGTCACAGCGGCGTCTGGCCCGAGCCGGGGGGCGGCGGGACGCGATGCGGCCGCGGCCCGAGCCTCGCTGACAACCTCGGGCGGGCGGAAGGCACCGGGAGCAGCCCGCGGGGAGCGTTGGCGGGGTTGGGGGGGGGATGCCGAGGTGAGCGGAGGTGGCGGGGCGTCCCCTCCCGTGGGTCGCGCTGCCCCGGGTGTCCCCGCGCGTCCCCAGCCGGCGGCTTTCAAATCCGAACTTCCCCGGGGTGGGGTTGGAGGAGGGACGCGGAGGGGGAGGGAATGGCCCGCCGCGGCGGCGTGCGGCTCTCCCCAAACGGTCGGCCCCGCTGTGTCTTTTGCTTTTCCCGCCAGAAGCAGGCCGGACCCTGCACCCAGCACCTGAGCAGCCGGGGTCGGTGCGCCCGGCGGGCGGCGGCAGGCGGCGGAGGCGGGCGCGGAGCGCGGCCCATGTCCGGCGCGGGCGAAGCCCTCGCTCCCGGGCCCGCGGGGCAGCAGTGCTCGGCCGAGGAGGGCGGCGGCCGGCGGGGCTCCCCGGTCCGCGGTGAGTGTGGGACCCGCTGGCACACTGGTGGGACGGGGCGGCGGCGGCGCAGTGAGGACGGGGATCCAACTCGGGGAGTTGGGAACTTTCGCCCACTCCGCGTTCCTAGCCCAAGTCTGCCCGAGGATCCCTGCCCCAGATCAACAACCGGACGGGAGGGCGGGGTCCCTGGTCCCTCCACCCTCCCTTCCTTGCTCCGAGGTGGCTGTGGGGGCATCTACCTTCTTGGCCTGCGACTCGGTGGGGTTGGGGTGGAGTGTGTGGTCTGCAAGCCTTGTCTAGTTCTCTTAAATTCTCACGTCCTTTTCTCACGCAGGGCTGTCTCTGCTCTCTGACCAAGCGTGGGCTGTCCTCATCTTTCTGGTTCTTGTGGGGCACTCTGCCACCAGGTTATGCGTCCAGGGTTCTGGGACCACTTGCTTCGGAAATGGCTCCTGCATATGTTTTCAATAACTTTTGTTTTGAAATGAACATCTTTTTTTTTTTTTCTTAAATCGTTTTCCAAGAATGAATTAGCTCTCGCTCTCTCTCTCTCCCTCTCTTTCTGTCCCCCCTCTCTCTCTTTTTGTTTTTCCAAAGGGAAAACAATATTTTTGCTTCTGGGAAACTTCCATAACCACATTTTAAAACTTTGACTGCGTTTTCTTTGAAGGTAGTAAGACTTCGGCTGCTCACTGGTGGCAGAATCAGACTCTGAGATTTCTCTTACCCTGTGCTCTAAGGACAATTCAAAAGAAGGGAGGTCTTGCTGTCACGCACCAGTTAACTACCTAGGCCTCCAAGACTTACTTTATACTCTTGGTATTAAGCATATCTAAAATCTGGCTGCAGTGCTCCAATATATATTGTCGTCTTCTTCTTCTTCTTCTTCTTCTTCTTCTTCTTCTTCTTATTATTATTATTATTATTATTATTAGTATTATTATTATTATTTTTTATGGCAGTAAAGTGGAAAAGAAGTTGCTGTTCTAGCCACAGTAGATAAAAGCAGAAACATCCACGCTTAAATTGAAATGTTCTGGCATCCGGGACTGTTAAACTGTGTTATATTTATCATTTTGTTTTAGAAGAGTGACTCATTTCGTTTCCTAAACAGAAAATTCAAATGATTAGCTGTAGAGAAGCAAAACACTAGAATGATAAACATATGTTTTTTCTTTTCAGAAGCAGCCCATTTTACACACATTGCGTTGTCAGCGCAATCATTTTCCTGTCGTTTAGGCATGTCTTCAGCAGTCATATTGACTCATTGATAGGCTGTTTGTACTCCCGCCTGAGCCATTAATCACCACTGTTCAACAGTGCTCATGCCAAAAACCAACATCAGACACTAAAGGTAAAACGGTTTGATTTGGAAATAGTTAGTATTCAAAGAAGTCAATGTTAATGGTATGGGGTTTTAAAACCTGCCAGAAGAACCTGCCCTGACATGCAGTGTATCTGCGCAGGTCAAAGCTGCTTGGCATCACGTGATCTCAGTACAAGAAGCAGGCCATCCAAGAGGGCCTGAGGTGAAGGGCTGGTTACACACAACGTGCCTATCTTCCTATGGAAAATCAGTGTCCTGTTGTAACTGAACATGACCTTTCCCAAATTTTCCTATCTTCTTACCCTATTTCTAGGTTCTTTGTTTTCCTCTCTGAAAAACAAAACGTAGTGTCTAAGCCTAGGAGGTCATTACTCTTCAGTTAATCAAAACTTAGTTTTAAAATTCTGCTCATTAAATTTAGTAAGGAAACTATAATACTTTAGGGACATTCACAGAAGACGTTTTGTAAAAAGATAAAAAAAAGCACATGTCTTCTGCAGAGTTAACCATTGCTTATTAAATGCACACTGTGATGTTATATATGATACCACACTTACTATGTTGCAATGGACTATTCATTAAGGTAACCCAAGGCATAACTCTTAAAATTGGAAGTAATTGTAGGGATTTTTATCTGAGTTTGAACCCCCTAATCAAACTTTGGACTCAGTTCTACATCCTTTAAGGTGATGGGAAATTTAACAGAACACTTCATTGCATTTTCAACGTTGAGTTAGAAAGGTTTTCTTTATTGGGAGAACTGCCCCAAATGTTCACCTTCCTGTTATGCTTCTGTGAGTTTTTCTACTGCCTTGAAAGCACAATAGCTGTGAGGACCCTGGGGCATTCTGAAAGGTGTCACAGAGGAAGGAGCTTGCAGGTTGCACGCTGTAAGTGGGAGCCAAGGTATGTGGCAGGCAATGGGTTAAGGAGGTTCAAGGGACCAGGAAAGTTTTTGGGAAATACTGGTTAGTTCTTGATGAGTACTATCACGTGGGTTCATATCTTCTGATGTCCCAAGGGTTTTTTTTTTTTTTTGTTTTTGTTTTTTTGTTTTTGGTTTGTGGTAAAAACAAACAAACAAACAAACAAAAAAACAAACAACCATACCTAGAGCCCAAAGGCTGGATGTGTCCGAGCTTCTGACTTGTCTCTGTTTTAGAGACAGAAAGTGTTTTTTTTTCTTTCATTTGTTTGTTTTTAATAATTTTCCAGTTTACAACCAACTTCTGAAATACTGAGTTATGTTCTCATGGAAAATTCCTGTATAAATGCCTTGGTCAATTGCAAGGCCATTTGGGCCATATTATTCTTAGTTTAAGAGAGAATGAGTTTGTGTGTATGATTCCTCTCATTGCCGTTCTGTTTTCTTATTGATTAAGCATTTACATATTCTTTCTATTATCCCGCATTTTTGTAAGTGAAAGAGCCTTTTAATTAAGTACTCCATTCGTAAGTTTGTGATTTACATGTAGTAGAATCCTTAGAAATAATTTATTCCAGTTGGTTTCTTTGGTGGACGAGGGAAAGCACTTCCAAAGATCTTAAGGGGTTTTCACACTGCAGTGATCGTCCCCATACAGCCGTGAACAAGGTGGAACACAAATTAGAAAACGTGTGCCGTTGTGATAGATGTGACTGCAGTGGTGAATCAATAGAACCTTGTCACATGGGGAAGACGCACTGAAGTTAATAGGCTCTGGATATTGTGAATCACTTGAGCCTGCTTCCATCCCAACCCCCACCCCACTGTACTTGCTAAGCTCTAGACCGTTGGACTCAGTGCTGGTGTATACTTTAATGTGATAATGTGTGATTTAATGTACTCTTCCCTCTAGGGAGAGTCCTCTGAGACTATTAGGCGGACTTTTCATAGCAGGATGCAAAATGCCAGTGAAGTTAATTAAAAATAATCTAAAATAGAAGCGAGGAGAGGCTCTTCAAGTTGAAACTGCTTAAGAGGAGCTCCGACTTAGAAGCTTAGCTGAGTTGTCAGGAGTTTATAGAGCTAATCAGATTTCCTTTTGGGGAAGCCTGTTTGTTTCAATGTATAGAATGTAAGCATGTACATATCTGAGCCTCTCTACTTTTGTCATGTTGTTTAATCACTTTTAAAGATGGCATGTCTCAAAGTGTTTTCCCTTTGGACAGCTCTGTCATTGAATTTCAACTCGAGATGATTTCACCCCCAGGGAGACATTTGACTGTAATGGAGACATATTCGGTGGGCCTAATATATGGCCGTGTATGGTGCCAACATCCGGTGAGCAGAGGCAGGGCTACTGGGGAGCATCTTCTAGGGCGCTAGATAGCACATTCCCACAGTAATGAGTGACCTGGCTCAAAGTCAGTGATGTTTATACAGACAAACCTTCTGTCCTTACTTCTCGGGTACCAGCAGGAATTTCATCCTTACTAGTTGCATAGTCACCTTTAGTAGGTGGAAAACCAAAGACTCTGCCTCCGCACAAGTTCTAGGTAGTACTTGATTCTGTCTAGGGCTTATTAACTTAAAGCCTTTAGCTACAGAAATACGCATTATATTGACCTCTTATGCCCGAAGGGGAGGAAAGGAGTTGGGGGTAGAACAGAGACTCCACAAAAATCTGTAAAAAGAATTCTAAAACTTAAATTTTGTTACTCCATGCAAACTCTCTACTGATGTTCCCCCAAATTTTGGTTTTATACATCAGTTCATTCTCAAAGTACTTCTGAGCTTCAAAAGCACATATTCTAAAATAAATAATGTCTTTACTATTAAAAAAGAGAGGAAAATTGAAAGCACAGCACAATAACTAGGATTCCAACATTTCCTTTGACACCTCAGTAGATACTGTTGTTCTACTTTCTTCATAGCTTCTTGGAGACACTACAGCAGGACAGAAAACAGCCCTCAGTGTTCACGTGACTTATTCATTTCTATGTTGGACTCTTGGAGCCTGGATTATATTTTTCCTAGAAATAGTGGTAAATTATGTTTAGTTCCCTAATAAATTTCAAAAGAGTTTTGAAAATAAATTTTGTTAAAACTTTTATGTTTTTTTATGAATTCCAGACAATACACGAGTACAACACTGGCAGCCACAGACAAATAACGAAGAATAAGAATAAACCCAGTAGAAGCTCTTTTAAAACGCTTCTCAATAGATATGCTTGAGGAAGGACAGAGATAATTAGGAAAATAGATGGAGACTTGTCTGGAATTAAAGGGGATTTGGGAACTCTTTTAAGTTCATTGAAACCCAAATCCTGATTCTTTTGTATGTGTGAAGGGAGTAATGTTCATTTTATGAATTTAGCTCTATGAGGGCAAGGCTTGTCAGTGTTGCATTGTTTTTCTCTTTGCTAAGAAAAGTACCAAATGAGGCAAAGAATGCAAACTTGAAAAACTTAATAACAAAGGAACAGGAGGAAAGGGAAGGATAGAAGGAAGGAAGGAAGGAAGGAAGGAAGGAAGGAAGGAAGGAAGGAAGGAAAGAAGGGAGGGAGGGAGGAAGGAAGGAAAGAAGGGAGGGAGGGAGGAAGGAAGGAAAGAAGGGAGGGAGGGAGGAAGGAAGGAAAGGAGGAAGGAAGGAAAGGAGGAAGGAAGGAAGGAGTAAAAAGTGATAGACCTGTGCACTGATTAAAGTGTTCAGAAAGGTTGAGTTTCCAGAATTGAACAGTAGGAAAACTTGTATGGTTGAGTCTGGTG